GGGCGTGGCGCCCCCTGCCCCCTGGGGCTGGGGTCCTTTGTGGTTAAAGCCTGTCCAGCTGGGTTTCACTGCCAAGCGGGAGCAGTGGGGGCCTCGGCCAGCGGGAGGCCCAGGCTGGAGAGGAGAGGCCTCCCAGCGTGGCACAGGGCACAGCCCTGGTGTGGCCACCTGGTCACCACAGGTGCGGCCCCGCGGATCCGTCCTCTGGAGCAGCGCTGAGCGATGGGGCAGAAGAGGCAGGTGTCCCTTGATGGGGCTGTGCAGAAACAGGCACCGTTCCTTCCTTCTGTGCCTGTATAGCTGGAGGACACGGTTGTTGGTCCTTCCTGTGCAGAGGGGACAGCACCCTCTCCTCAAGTGGACACCAGGCCCCTGGGCTACTCTTGAGTCCCATGTGGCACCAGGTGGCATCTGAGGCCTGGAGCCTCCACCCGCGGCAGCCCCGCGCTGTGTGCCCAGCCACCTGGTCAGGTGCTTTTTCGCAGCTCTGGGAGAGCCTTCTTTGGCTTTCAGTAATGCTCAGAGGCTCTGCGGTCCTATGGCAACTTAGAGCCACTGCTGGGGACTAAAGAGAGGCTGTTTTACGAGGCCGACTCCCCCACTCTTCACTGGGATCGAACTCGGGACCTGTGCACCACAGAGCTAAATCCCCAGCCCTCCTAGGCTGACTTTCACAGTGAGCTTTAAATTTTTTGTCGCCAAAAATTGCTTTTCGTTACTTTTCCCTAAATGCATTACCCAGAAGTTCCGAGACGTCATCAACCCAATGCCTCCTTCCTCTGGGCAGCGCTGTGGATTGGAGTTGCCCTGAGCTGGGCTCCCTCACCGGTGTCAGTCCGCACGCAATCGCTGGTGGTGCCCCCAAGGGCCGCAGAACAGATGCAGAGGGGCAGAGGACCAGCCCTGTTGGGGACTTTCCAGCACAGGGAACCTGAGCACCCAGGAATGCTGGGCACCAGGTGACGGTGCCGGGACAGCTCTGTCTCGGGCTGCTGGGCCGCTGGGTGTGAGCACAGGACTGCAGGCCAGTGCTTCTCAGCCGCCGGCTGCTGTGTACCGCCCGGGAAGCTCAGGCCTACTGCCAGCCAGGCCGGTCACCCCCAGCCGGATGTCTGAAGTTCAAGCCTTGCCAGCGAGGACTGTGGTGGCCAGCAGGGTGGGTGTGAGAGCCCCAGCGACCCAGGGCCCAGCCTCTGTGTGGTGTGACCGGCCGCGCATGGCACCCACCACCAAGAGAGGCGGGGCCTGGCGCCTACACGGTGGGCTGCGCAGGCATCTTCTGGCTTCCTGCACTCTCTTTGTGAGGTACCGGGATCCCACTGAGTTGCTGAGTCACCCAGGCGGGGCTCCAACTCTAGACCCTCCTGCCTCTGCCTCTGCCTCCTGGAGTCCTGGGATCACAGGCTTGCACCACCATGCCCGCTCAGCCCGCTTTCTGTTTTGTTCGAGGCCCAGGTAACCTCGTCCCCTCGCTTCTCCCTCTGAGGGAGGAGCTGGGACACAGTGCCCACCACCGTGCCCAGCCAGGCCACGGATGTGCCACCTTGGCTTCTTTGATGCTTTGCACTGTGGTCTAAGACTTAACTTTGCTCCAGACGAGACTCCTGGCCCTCAGCTGTCCCGTCCAGTGACCGCGCGTCTTGGGTCGTTGCTTGAGCATGCTCTGGATCGCGTGACCCAGGTGACGTGAAGATGAACGAATCTCCTTTTCTGTGTGGTTCTTGTTGCTCGCATTCTTGCCCAGTCTTGGTGCCGGTATAGTGTTTGTGACGTGGGTTCGTGGAGGCGGAGGGCGTCCCTCGAATGCCTGCGGGCCAGTGTGGCCCGAGAGGCCGGCACCCCGCTTCACCGTCATCTTGGCTTCTGCGGTTTTGCGTTTGACCCAGAGTTCTCTGCAGCTGGGCAGGGGCGGGTGCAGAGATACTGAGCGGAGGGGATGGTGGGGCCTTGGTAGCATCTAACCCTCAGGCTGCCGTGGCCTGACGGCCGAGACGGCTCGCCCTGGTGCCGGCACAGGCGAGAGCAGGCCCTGCAGGAAGGACCTGGTCCGGGCCCTTGCCAGGTCCGCTGAGC